AAAAGTGGCCTGTATCCTTTGATCTGTTGTGAGTGTAGATTAATTTATAAAGCACAAAATCATAGATAATAAATCAAGATTTCACTGTTCAAAAAATAGCACTATTTGTCTGAAAAAAAAAATTCGTGCAGAGGGTTTCACTTGAAAAAAAAATTCCTGCACAAGTAGCGGGCGAGAAAAAAAAAAAAAAAAAAAAAAAAAAAAAATCGTGCAAGCTGAAAATTCCCCACCCTGCACCAACCCCCATCACTTTTCTAATGGTCCGTCCCTTAATAAGATAATCCAGGAAAACGCGCTTAACATGCAGGTCAATTAATTCCGTCGTCTCTCGTTTCGAACGACGGTCACTCTTTGCGCAGAAAGCTCACAGTCAGGTCAAAGGTCAATTTTTCAAAAACGTTTGAGTTCTGATCATTTACATCTTCTAAAATCGGAAACAAGGAAGCTCATTTCAAACGTACATGTAGATAATTTGCATTTGCATCGAAACGCTCATTTATTGAGTTGACCAATACAAGTGAAAAACGCCACCAATTCGCCGATTTACCTGATAAGACAGATAAAATAGTCCCGGGAAAATAGTATGTCACGGCAAGAGAGGACGCTGAGTTTTATAATAAGGGAAAATTTCAGCTCAGGAAGACAAAAATAACGACATATAGCTGCCCAACCATGATTCCCTTAACATTTTAATTCCTGACCCAGACCCTAAACTGCCTCAGAAAGCAAACGACAAACAAAAGTGACTTAAAAAAACCAGCATACATGTGGTTTTGACAAAACTTTCGGCCAGTTCGATTCGCCGAAAGCCTATATATAGTGTACAGCGACGTTCTTTTACGTTCTTTCCTTCTTTTCGTGTGGAAAGGCTATCCGCCGGGCGCTTCGAAGAAAACTGTATCACGAGTCAACCTCAACCTGAAGAAAAGGGTGTCGTCCAAAAGGTAGCGCCGTGAATAAAGTTTCCCATGAGATATAAAACTAACAATCCCGGCCCACCGTGGGTTCTCTTCATGTTGTATTGGTCTTACGAAGTAATCTGGTCTGAGGTCTGCATCAATTTGCCCAATGACGTTTTCCCGTTGGACTAAATCTTCCTGTTGATCGATCAATGTCAACGTCACTTTCTTTTTGAAAGGCCAGGGTAATATAGCGTCATATTCACCTTTCATTACAACAATGAACACCGTGAGGTGAGTATTCATACAATCACCATAACCATTGGGATACATTGCTATTTTTAAAATATAGCCATATCTTTCCGTGCAGAAGGAAGTAGTTTCTATTTTTAGGATCTGTTCGCCGGTCTTTGCTTGTCTCAAAATTTCACTAAAATTAATAAATTTCCAAACAAACACCCGTGGGAAATTGAAAGGTTCGTGTTTCGCCTTCATTAATTTTTTTGGTTTCAGTTGTATTCCCTTTATCCTCCCTCTTTTTCTTTTCGAGTTTGTCGAGTTTTTCCATCAGTTTCCTTGTTGTATCTTGCATGTCATTTAACTTTAATTCTGTGTTATGTAACCTAACTTCCGTGTTTCGTTTAATGTTTCTTCAGTGGTATTTATTTTCACACAAGCTAAGTCAAGATGGAGTCTCATGGCAGATTGCAGATGGGATCCCATTTCACGTCGTTGAATCTACAAGAAAAATACAAACTTCTTTACCTCGTAATCTAACTGAAAGGCTATATATCCTTAATTAATTATTAAAATAATTCAAAAGACTAATAGCTGGTAATGAATGGTTCATACTCATTGCATCGGCAAAGTTTCATGTCACGTCTGTTGTAAAAGCGCTGCCTGCAAACTTAGCTTAATAATAGGTTCCATAAACATTATCGAAATAAAGTAGCTTTAAACGCCTTCCAAAGTAAAATGTGGTGTTCCAATTTGATAAAATTCAGAGTAAATACTAAGAACCACTTCAAAAATGGCTACTTTTTCGGTGTAAAATAGAAACCTGTCTCGGA